TTGTCTCCTACATTTCGACCTTTATAGTATGGCCTTATCAGATATGTTAGTTCCTTGTTCTGTTTCAGAGGCTATTTATGAGCCCCAGTGGATTATTGTCATGCAGGCGGCGATGGATGCTCTTCAACGTAATCATATGTGGGATCTTGTTTCTTTACTTTCAGGGGTGAAGCCTGTTGGCTATCACTGGGTTTACACCTTGAAGTTTCTTACAGATGGCATTATTGATCGTCACAAGGCTAAACTTGTGGCGAAGGGCTTCACTCAGGTACCAGGTCGTGATTTTGGAGCTATCTTTGCCCCCGTAGCAAAATTAACTACTGTTCGATTGATTATTTCTCTAGTTGCAGAGTACTCTTAGCCTATGTTACTCGAACTCGCCTTTTTTGTGAGAGTACTCGTGTCGACACAATCCGACACGGGTGCAGGATTTGTGTCTGGTACAGTAACTTTATTCCGGATACGGCTGGTACACAGGTCCAGATCTTCCAAGTAAAAAAAAAAACAGAGAGAAGATTGAGAGAAAGGCACATCCAGACGAAATCAAAGAGAGAAAAACACAGAGACAGAGTATATAGCAAAAATTGAAGGAGAAGAGTTCAGTAGCTTACCTCTTTGAGTCCAGATTTGAGCAGATTTAGCTTCCATCCACGCAGATCTAGAGCTTGAGACTTAGGTCTTCATCGCTACGATCTGCGACCCATGAGCTACCAGGTATCTTCTATTTCTGTTCTCTCTCTCTCTCTCTCTAGCACCGGCATCGGCATCGCATCGCATCGCCCTCGCCCATTGCCTCTCTTCTCTCTGTCTCTATTTCTGTTTGTGTTCGTGGGTGACTGAGGGAGCCGATTGATAATTGGCTTTTGTATTTTTTTTTTTTTGTAACTATGAAAAATTACATTTAATACCCCACTTCTTTATAACTTGTAATTTTTAAGCATATATAAGTACCATTAATTTCATTTAATACCCTTCATTATTTTTTTTCTTTTTGTAATTATTCTTTTATGTTATTATTATTTGTTAAATTGGTATATTAAATAACTGCAAGTCATTTTATTAATTATATCTTATTTGCTAAATATTTAGAATTAAATATTTATGTGTGTAGAAATTGTGTATACAATAATTTTAATATTAATAAAATTAGACCGTATCCCTGTACCCGTATCCAAATCTGGATTCATACCCTCGTATCCACTATTTTTTGAATTGAGATGTCAGACACCTAAATTCACACCTGCACCCAATACCCGCACTTGTGTCCGAGTAACATAGCTCTTGACCTCTTCATCAGTTGGATATAAAGAATGCATTTCTTCACGGTGATCTAGACGAGATTATTTATATGAATGCACCACCGGACTTTTGTGGTGAGGGGGAATATGCAGGAAAGGTATATCGGCTGCGTAAGTCTCTATATGGATTGAAACAGTCACCACGAGCCTGGTTCTCTCGCTTTAATGGTGTAGTTGTACATTTAGGGTTCACCAGATGTCATTCTGATCATACCTGCTTCATTTGACGGAATATTTCAGGACAGTGTGTCATCCTTTTGTTATATGTTGATGATATTATTATTACTAGAGATGATGTTTCTAGGACTACGCAGGTCAAGGTAGACATTGGAAAGGCCTTCGATGTGAAGGACGTTAGATTTTTGCGATATTTTCTTAGAATTGAAGTTGCCATGATTCCAAACCTGAAGCTTACTGCTGACGGTGAGGAACTGGGAGATCCAACAGTCTATCAAAGGTTGGTAGGTAAACTTATTTATCTAGCCAACACTAGGCCAGACATTTCATTTGCTGTCAGCCGAGTTTGTCAGTTCATTCACAAGTCGTGTCAGTTTCATCTTGATCCAGTTTATCATATTCTTTAGTACCTCAAGTCTTCTCCTAGACTTGGATTGGTCTATGCATCAGGATCTCAGATTGTTTCTCTAGCCTGTTATTCAGATTCAGATTCAGATTACGGGAGAGTATGTGACGGTCGATCCACTACGGGCTTCTGTACTTTTCGAGGGACTCATCTTATCTCTTGGAAGAGCAAGAAGCAGGCAGTTGTCTCTCGTTCGTCAGCAGAGGCAGAGTATCGGGCACTGGCGCTAGACACATGTGAGATTATCTGGCTACGATCGATTCTTGGCGAGTTGGGATTTCCAGTGACTTCTTCATCTACATTATATTGTGATAATCGATCTGCTATTCAGCTCGCTTCTGACTCTGTATTACACGAGAGAATGAAACATATAGCGATTAATGTTCACTTTCTTCGAGAGAAGGTTTGTTGTGGTATTGACACCCCATTATTTGTGGGGACCATTGATCAAGTTGCGGATGTTTTCACCAAACCTGTCACTCTATCCATTCTTCGGGACTTGGTTGTCGAACTTGGCTTAGTTGATATTTTTGCGCCTAACTTGAGGGGAAGTGTTAGAGTATAATATAGTTTATTAGGATTTCTTTTCCCTTTTTTACCCTTACTATGACTTTTATATTTTGCCTAGACTACAAGGATGTTTAGGTCACTGTGTATTATTATTTGGCTATATATACGGGGCTCTACTCTTAGTTTGAGTATCCCATTCACTCACAAATATTTCTAGTTGCACTATATTCTACACCAGGTTTGTTATATATACTTTGCAGCACATTTGGCACACACAGAAACATGAACTTCTGTGTACTGAGAAAAGTCACCAACATGGACTTGAGTTTCCACTTTCCACAGATGAGCAGGGATTATTTAAACAGTTAAAATCTAATTCCTTCTTATAAAATGTTGCTAATGACTATCTGAATACAGAAAGGAATGGTATCAAATACAATCTTGATCAAGGAAAAGTGACACATATTCCATGGTCGAGGTCTTTCTATATACTACTTGGTTACCCCTGGCAGGGATCCACCATTATAACACTCTCTCTGAGCAAGCAACAACATGCCACAAATGCAACCTGAAAATAGTAAGTTAAACTATAATCGCAAGTATCTTAATCGAATATTACCTTGTACAACAGATATAATCCATAACAGGATATAAAGCATAAGCATGAAAAGTGCACCCACAGCCTGTGAAATAGAAAGAACCTTTTGTGAGGGCTGGCTCAGAAGGTAGTTAAGATTGAAAAAATTATTCTATAACCAACTGAAAATCTAAGGACATTAGACAGATGATGGGAAAAAGTACAGGAATAAATAAAACCATATTTATGCATCAAACTTTAAAAATTTGCATCTCTTATGCTAATTGACATGCAGAATAGAGAAAGCAGCAGCTTCTATGTTTTGCTGAAATAAAATTTTCTCATTCATGGAGACAAAACTGGAAATGTTAGTCAACTTGCTCAATGTAGAAGCTCTAAAGATGGCATAAGTAGTAATTTCCATAAATCAAGAACTGTGGCAAACTCTATTTATCAATTCACTTCCAGGTATGATTTTTATATCATCAACTTAGACCAACATAAATGCTATATGCATGTCATTAAAGAATAAAAGATGATCCTGTACATAGCTTAAAACAGGTACATCTGCTTCATTCTTCCCCTTTGAATAAGTAGTCAATCTCCATCTACTTGTAAAACAGTGAGGGTGGAAAAGAAGGGTAGACGGGAGGAAAAAGAGAAGGGGGGGCATCTATCCATATCCATAAACTGCACCAATGAATACCAAACAATCTCTAATTGCATAAGATAACAATGTTAATAATGCGTATTCACCAATTGCATTAAGATAATACAGTATTAATTATTCAAAAACTAATTGGCAATAGGTGAAGTTTATTCTCAAGTTTATTAAGTATATTAAATCAGCCTTAGATCTACTTATTTTTTGATGTGGAATAGCTCTGAGTCTGACTAACAAACTGAACTCAATAGATAGACAAACAAAGTGGAGCTGAACCAAAATAAATTGGAGAATTCAATTGTGTGAAAGACTTGGCCCGCCAACTACCAAGGCCTATCATATTGGAACATCCCCTCAAGCAAGGATTTAAATTTCGTTTTGAAATGGTCGAAATATTTTTGTTTCCATAAAAATCAAAATGAATCAGTGATTGAATATTAAAATTCATATATTTTGAAGTGTTTCAGAATGTTTTGGGGTGTTTTGACCAATGTTTAGGAAACAAATTATCCATTTTTTTTTCTCTATTTCTTAAATATTTTCGAAACATTTCTGAAATGTTTACTTTTTCCTAAGTGACCAAAACAATGCATTGAAACATTCAGTGCTGGGTAGCTCTCTTCAGATTACCAAACTAGATGAGCTGTGTTTGGGTCCTAAAATGTTTGCTCTAAACACCAAAATGTTGTTGAAAGATCAGAGAAGGGCTTATAGGTACACACTGAAAAAGTTTTGAAGAGTAAACCCTTTAAACAAGCCAACCATGAGTGAATTAAAAGGAAACTGAACACCACTCCAAGTCCCCAAAGGTTTTATTATTGCACCTGGCCTTCCAAAAAATAAATTGCCCTGTTGATAAAATAGATTTGTCCTCCTAGTATCAAGCTATTGGTGAAGAACAATAGTATAATAACGTCATACTGTCAATTTTTAAATCATCCATTGTACCCTTTATAAAATTTAGGCCACCCAAAACATTTTCATTACCAGAAAAGATAAATGAAAAGGAAATAGTTGGTGTACATTATCATGTTATCATATCCTCCTCCTCAATAGTGTATTATTGCAATCAGAAAGGAGCTTTAAATTGTAAAAGTTGATGGATTAAACATATATATGATTGTTATGAACATGTTAATAAACTTAAGATAATAAGCTCTGGTATAAGATCTGTTCCCCTTCAACTTACGGAAGTTAGTTACCGCCACATGTCTGAATCCATCAGTTGTTAGCAAAGGTAGTAAATAATGGTAACTACATAGACTAAATCTAGAGGGAAGGACAAAACTGAGAAGATGCAAGATAGACATTTTGTCTCAGTTTTTGACTTCTATGAATAAAATCATATGCAAAGTCTGACAAGCTTACCTGTTAGAGCCGTTAGTAATATTGGATATTGTAAATGAGTCCATGGAACTAGGGTCTTCATTGCCAGTATAATTTAGTGGGAGAAGAACTAATAATCCAACTAGAGAGCAAACCACAAAGAAATTGATCCTGAAAAATGAGTTCACATTAAATATCAGGAATGACTTTTATATGACCCATAAGAGAAAATAAACCATGAAAGGAAGAGATAGAAGGTGTGGTAGTTTTAAAAAGTTCCATTCTCCAACCTGCTTCAAATGATCAGGATCCTCATATATTTCAAGCATTATCCTTTGTTTTCCCGTGATGTTTTCTTTCAATAGGCAATTCATTTCGAGGCTGCATATCTTAGGTACACCTAACGTTGAACAACACAAGACTGATACTCTCTCGCCCCAATCAGCTGCTTACTTTTCATCAGAGTCTACATTGTGATAATGTTACAATCACACTGACCTAGAGTGATGGTATGTGTGTATTGGTCAAAAATAGAAGCCACCATTCCATATCCCTCATCGGTGGTAATTAGGCATTCTTCACCACTTCTATTTCATTTCCATGGCAGTTCACTAAACATATATAGAACTTAATATGTCGTGAATTCAAGTCTTTTAATCAGAACCAACATCTACATAAAATAGGTGTAAAGAATGAACTGTTCACAACTTAACTTTTCTATACTTTCCTATAAACTGCTAGGTAAGTTTATTTACTTCCCTATAAACATCTGTTTTGTGTGTTGGGTACGACCCAGCCTACCGTCCCACCACATTAAAACATATATCAATGGAAAATGATATTTAGACCTAATCAATTATGTTGGAGTAGACTACGCAAATAGCAGCATTGAATTAGGTCCCCACATTATTACCCTATAGCATTGCTCTATATTAATTGTCATAACTTCACCACCTTATACATGACCATTTGTGTACATAATGTTCTTGAAGAAGGTACGCACGAGGTGTGTGCTCTTTCAATTTTATCCTTCTTTACTTCCAAATTTTCACTACTGTCTTGCAGTTACCTTCTTGATATTTGAGGTAGTCTTACCAAGAAATCAAATACGTTGATAAATATACAAAATCGAAATAATTTTATTGCTACAACAAACCAACTACACTTCCTGTTGTTTTCACCAAAACAACAAACAATTCAATTTTGTTTCATAGCCAAACTAAAACAATGCTAGATGGAATATATGACACTCAGTACTAAATTTCTGACCCGAATTTGAAGAGTCTGATGAAGACAAGAACATCGAGGCCACAGTTCTCAAGAATTTCTTCCTCGGAAACCCAAACAGCGCGCCTAATCCAATCGACCGACGGAAGCAACCGGTGGATGGGAATGTCAAGGTTAAGAGAGAGACGGCGGGGATAGTAAATTGGGGCATTCGAAGGTTTTTTCTTCAAGATAGAGAAAAGAGAGAGTATGAACAGTGATAAGCCAATGTTGATGGCCGCCGACGCGAGAAGGCTTTCTGCGTTCATCACTTTTAGAGAGAGAAAGAGAGAGTCAGGGTGCTGCAAAGGATGTGTAGGGAGTGTTCATGGTTGTGAAGGGTTAGGGGAAAAAGAGAGAGAGAGGTGGGTTGTTGCCACCTTTGACAGGACGTGGCGGTGTTAGAGGGCGCGAAGGAAGACGTTAGTGCCATGCGTAACTTGACTTGGCTGCATGCTTGCGGAGTAGTCTACAAATTTGTGTGGATGTGAACAAAAGATGGGATTGATTAATTGATTGCGATCCAATTCATACAAATGATATTAATGAGAGTATTATTATCAATACTTACGTAATAAGTTTTAATCAACATAGAGAGCATAAATTTATTATTATAAGAACGTGATTATCAATACTATGGAGAATATAAATATTGAGAATACGATTGCATCTGAAAATATAAATTTTATGTGTATATAATATGTAATAGATTTTGTATCTTCTCATAAATTTTATATATAGATATAGAGATATACATGTAAATAATACATAAATACATAATTCATTTTTAATTATAATTTTAGAGAGGCAGATTTTGATGAATTAGAATGAAGGTTAATCTATTAAATTTTCATTATTCCTATTTTCATTCCTTACTAAAACATAATATTTTATCTATTCTTCTAACTTCTTACCCTTTTGCTTTTTTAATCATACCAAACAAAACATAAATTAATCCAATCCATCCTTTTAATACCTAAAACAAACATGTCCATAGATGTTTAATTTAGATTGAATGCAATATAAAACACAGATATTTCATAAAAAGTCCATGGCCTTGGATGCTGCAACGGATGCAATATTTGTCGAATATTTGATATGTATTGTCTACAAAATCATATATATTTAATAATAAAAAAATATTTAGGGTTTTTACCCATACGTCTCTACAAAAACATATATTTTGAATAAGAAAGTGCATGTGCAGAATAATATATACAATTTTTAATTCTAATCCATTTGATTGTGAAGATACACATACATTGGTGTTTTTAAGTAGTATCTACTATTAAATGTAAAAAAAAAAAGTAAAAAAATATGTTAATTACACCATATCTCTTGATAAAAAGAATTAATAAGCTAACTAAATAATTAAATCTTGATTCTCAATTTGTTAATTAGTCACGTATATTTTATAGATATATAATAGTGAAACAATTAATATTTCCTTAAAAGTCAAATTTATGATTTTTTAAATTATTTTAAATACCTTATAACACCATCTCTCGCTTTTGACTCATTTTTTATTCAAATTTGAGTCAACTTTTGAGTAAAAATTTTGATTTGATACAAAAATTTTCAATGAAAAAACTCAAATTTAAATGAATATGAAATATGATCATTGTATCTTTAAAGAATGATAAAATATGTCTATTAAAGATTTGAATATAAATTTAATTCACCCTTAATTTGAGAAAAAATTTGAGTTTCTTTTCATTTAATATGAGTTTGAGTAAAGGATCGAACTTGTTTTTAATTAGTTTTTAATAAAATTTAAATTTAAATAAAAAAAATTAGCAAGATTATGAGATGCTCTAATATATCTTTTTTTGCCTCTCTCTCTCTCTCTCTCCTAAAATTTCCAGCACAAGTGGCCATATGCACATCCCATTAGTAAACCTCTAGAATTCCCGTTTCTGTCCAACACTTCATGTTGAGTGTATGCTATAACCCAGTCTAGCAATGGCTGATTATTTTTCTCAAGACTGCAACCATTAGCATTGGCAATTTTGCTCCTTGATTTTACTGAGCAGGAAGATTAACATCTGTTTGAATATTGGGTATAATATGACTGCATAGTAATGATGACGTGATATCGTTGTTATGCTTAATATTTTCTCTATTTGAACGAGGTAATACCATTTTTCTTCACTTAGACACAACCATCGACATTTTCAACTATTTGGGCGTTTCCAGGAAATTTCTTGATGCAGAGAGAGAAGGAAAATAAAAGAGATACCGAATCCTCATAAGAAATAAATCAAGAAATAAAAAATTTTACAAAAAATTCTCAAATTTATATTCAATTTTGATTAAAATAATACGGAATAAATCCTATTGATTAAAATAATGAATTATTATTTTGTTTTGATTGAGTTGTAACTATGTCTCGATTTTTTTTTTTTTTTGGGAAGGATTCCAAATACCTGGGCTTTCCCAAAAGTTTATGCTATTTGGTAAACTACCAAGGTGCCCTAAAGCAGCCTCAGGACAAGCCAAACACTAGCTTAGCAAACTATTGATGGATTGGAGGCGTCCTTCACATAAAAAGACTGAAATCAATTGTTGGAACAAACCTTCTTCCATGTGTGTGCACATTTTACTTTGTAGGCGAATCATTTTTTTTTTAGTTTAACGGTCAGGTATTTGAACCAGCTTATACATACCTCGATTAATCCTTTCTTCGATCCAGTCAAAAGCAAGTCATGCACGCAAGGATTAGAATATTCATGAATGATAAATTTCTTTTAACTTGACTTCAAAGTGTAGTCAATATTTGAATTCAAGACTTCTTAATTTACAACTCATCGCTATAACATATTGAACAACACTCGGTAATAGGCTAATCATTAGGATCATGCATACTATGGTCATATTTTCACATGCTAGAATATGATACTATGGAATTGAAATTTTAATTTTTAGCATTATAACTGGAAAGAGCTTTCGACTGTAGATCTTAGTTTGCATTATTTATAAACATTAATGTAGAACAAATCAAGTAAAATAAAACTTTTAAATAATATAACTTTTCTAGTGTCATCTTACGATTGGATAGAAGAAGCAAAAATGGAACTGAAAAGTTATACTTTTTGAGATGTCGAAGTTTGAACTATGATATAAATAATCAAATCCGCATTTGATTTTTTTTTTTCGGTAAGGAATCCGCATTTGATTTACTAGTAGCAGGAAGTTAAAAACCACGGGTAATGTTACGGTACTGAAAAAAAAAAAAAGTATGATGTGGTACCCATTATTATTATTTTTTTATGCTTCGTTTGGTAGGGAAGATGAAAAGTAAGAATGATAAAAAATAGAAAAAATACAGTTTATATTCTTTAAGGAATAAAAATATGAATGGTACACTTTCTTTCCTTTGTGTTTGATTTGATGGATGAAAAATAAAAATGACTAATGTTTTTTTTTTTTGGTGTTGGCTAAGATTAGGAGTGACAATTTAGTTGTGTCGTGTTAGATTCGTGTTGAGTCGTTACGGATTTGTGTCGGACATTAGTCAAACAAAACTCAACTTATTTAATTAATTGTGTCGTGTTGAGTTGCGAGTTAACCTATTTTTTGCTTGTCATGTTCGTGTTTGTATTCGTGTTGATGCACATAAATTTTGAATAAAAAATTTAACGCTAATATTCTATTTTCGCTTAATTAAATTCATGTTAATATTTTTTTCTACAAATTAAAAATTAACTTAAATAAACATAATAATAATAAGTAAAAATATCTTTTTTATATAATAATTATATCACTACTTAATAAATAGTTAAAAATAATTAACATTTTATATCTATAATACTAGTTAAACATGTTAGTTTCGTGTTACTATATAAACAAGAAAATAGAGAAAATATTTATTTTTAAATAAATGAGTTGATTGTGTCAATTTTGAGGTTAACTGATTGAACTGAATATAAGTTTTTTATATTTTTTGTTCGCATGTCAAGTCATTTTCAAGTTCTTATCGAGTTATAATTAAGTTCATATCGACTTATAATCAAGTTCGTATCATAAAATTCGTGTCGAATTTGAGTAATGTCATCGTATTAAGTTAAAAATTTCCATCCCTAGTTAAAATGAAAAAAAAATACTTTTTAATTTAAAATTTAAAATTTTATTTTTATATTTTTTTAAATATATATATATATATATATATAAATACATATTTTATCATTGTATTTTTATATGAAATTAATGTATACATAATATATGTATATATTAAAAGATATATAGACAAATAACATACATCTCAACACAAATAATTAACTTTTCATTCACTTTTCTTCCGATTTTGGAGGAATTGATTTGGTAGGTTGGAAAGAAAGTTAATTTATCAATTTTTTCATCCTTCCTATTTTTTTTTCTTTACCAACACATGATGTTGTATTTATCCCTCCAATTTTTCATCTTTCCAACTTTTCATCCCAGACTTATTTATTTTTCCATCATATCAAACGAAACATTAAGGTTTAAGTTATGTTTTTTAAAAATGAAGTTATGTAAGTGTTTGAAGTAAATAGTATGACCGATCATAAATAGTCTCTAATCTGTAATAACTGTACATTTACCCTTATAAGTTGTGACTTTATCTAAAAAAGTTATAACTTCCATTATCGATCATTATATTTTTAGGATTGATAATGTCTTTTTTGGTTGTAACTTTTTCTTCAAAACATTATAACTTAACCTTAAAAAAACTTATAAACATTAGTACAACACTGACTTTGGTACCACAGTCTTCCCCAACAAATCACATTCTATCGGACAATCAATTATGTTGCAAACCGATTGTTCAAATTAAATATTGGGTGTACTCGGACAATAATAAGATAGTATGTGGACAAAGAAATCTCACATAATTAAATAATTTTTCATTTATGTTTAGGGTTGTTTACCCTACTTTACAGATGAAAAATATGATCTTTCATCTTTCTATCTAATATTTTACGGAATAATTTTTTTTGACATATCCTACCCGATTAAGTATGGTATTTCTACCTGACTTCCGACCAAATTAATCAGATAGGAAGTCAGGTAGGAAATTTGAACACTTTTGTAGTTATTAATTTTTAGATCATTTTAACAATTCAATTAAATAACATACATCAATTTAATAATACAATAAACCAATAACACCAAAACTTAAAACAATTACAATAAAACATGAGAAAACATAAACATCAATCCATCATAATTATTGCACAAATACAATAACAATTTTTTTAAGTTTAAACCATTTGGTTAGGGAATTAGGATT